GCATTTGTGGAGAGCAGACTAAATACTTGAATTGGCTGAAGCATCCACAAAGGATGAATACGAAAGCATATCTGAATACATGAATCAAAATCACTTTTCTTATTTTAAAGGTTGCTTTCTATGTATCTGTTTCTATTGAATGGAAAGAGGAAGTAAAGTTTCATATGCAGGACACCAAGATCATGGAGACAGACTGATATAAGAGATGTCAGAATCTTATTTTCAAAATACGTAAAATAATGTTCTCTACACAGGCTTTGCTCAGGTATTAGTTCTCCTCATTTCTAACTGATCCTGATCACTATATGTCTAGATAAAAAAAAAATTAATGCCTCCCAACTTCCATACCAAAACCAAGTATCACCAACTTCCACGACTGCCTCAAAACACAAGGTGTAACGACAGACCACCGTCCCCTTCTTCTACAAATATTAATCTGCAAATTTTTGGGTGCTCCCCTCTTCTTACATTATAAATACACAAGCAAATGAAACAGACACATACACTCACACAAATACACACAGAGAGATTTTATCTGACAAACTTCTCAGTATTGTTCATCTTGTTTGTTTCTACAACACCTGGGACCAGTCATTTCTTCAATCATATAATCTACTTCAGGAGAAAGAAGCAAATGTTAAACAGTTTTCCTCATAACCCAATAAATCTTGCATGAGTTTTGTTCTTATTGATGTCAATGATATTCAATGCTTACAGTAAACGGTGAAATCAATAGGACGGGTGCTATTATCCTCCTCTGAACAACAACAAAAAAATGGCGTTCTAGTCAGCTTTTTCATTACTGTGGCCAAAAGACTCAGTAAGAACAATTTTAGAGAAGGAAAGTTTTATTTGGGGGCYCATGGTTTCAGAGGTCTCAGTCCATCGATGGCCAACTCCATTCCTCAGGGATTGGGATGAAGTAGGACTTCATGGCAGAAGAATGTGGTAGAGAGAAGCAGCTCAAGACATACCAGGAAGCAGAGAGAGAAAGAAGGAGAGAGCTCTGCTCAATAAGCACAAAATATATACCCCAGAGGCACACCCCACAATGACCCATCTCCTCCAGCCACATCTTACTTGGCAACAGGTAACCAGTTTATCCCTCTCAGGGGATTAATTCACTGATTGGGTTGAGGATTTCATAACCCCATCATCTCACCTCTGAACCTTCTTTCATTGTCTCATACTTGAGTTTTCAGGGGATATCTCAGATCTAAGCCATAATTAATGGCATGGAGTGACACAAGACTGTTCTAAAAGCTTGAATGGCCACATTTTTACAATCTAACGTGGCATCCTGCCATTTTCTGGGTATAAAGAATATCTGAATACATGATGCAAAATCACTCTTCTTATTTAAAGTTACTTCAGTTGTTTCTATTTCTYTTAAATGTAAGTTAAATGTTAATAGTCAATGTTATTTACAACCCATTCTGATGTGCTAATTTTCAGTGCCACAACACTGTATTATTAAGATTCAGTATATTTCAGCTCACACATCTAACAAGAACACACATCTTAAGTTTCTTATATGTAMATTCCCAGAGGTTGAATGCAGTGCAGGAATGATGATTGATTTTTTTTCTGAAATAAAAGACTCCTATGGCTTTGTGATATGTAACAACTTGTGTCATGCACCACAATTTTAAGGACTATGTCAAGCCAAACAGAAAATAAATCTGGCTTGATAGGGTCTTGAATGTMTGTTCCTTCAATAATTTGATATAGCTGCATGGAATATCTATTATTTGTCTACATTATTCTAACCACTAGAAGTGTTCTGGGAAATGACAGATAAGGTCTCTGTCCCCAAAGAACTTGTATACATATCAAAAGAAAAAAGTAGACACATTTTCATGCACAGCAAATTTGAAAATTAAAAATGCTTAGAATATATTACAATGAAATTGTAATAAAGTAACAGTTGATATGAGATGTAAATAATGGGTAAAGCCATCACATAAGAYAGGTGTTGAGTGCTCAAGAAAGAACAGAACAAGCAAAGTCCCCAAATCTGGGAGAAGCTCATTGTCATGTTGCAAGCATGACAGTCAAAAAGGCTAGCATACAGAGATGAATCCAAGAAACAGGTGACAATATCACCTAAAGCTTCAAGGCCATATAAAATTAGAAATTTGTTTTGACATTCAATGAGAAGGCATTATTAGGTGATCATAGTAGGAAAACAGCATAATCTGATTTGCATATCTATTKGTCCAGGAAATTTTCTGAACCAACATAGTGTTCTCAAACACCAAAGAAACACTGAGTGATAATCAGATTTCTGTCTTTATGAAGTTCACTTACAAAAGCATGAACATGAAAGGAATTCAAATTAATAATAATCCAAATTGAAATGCCACTAATCAAAACAACTCTATTTTCTCACCCAGATGTGCAGTTTTATAAGATTTTCCTAGAGTTAGGGATCAATACATGGATGATGCAGGTTCCTCCTCAAAGAATGCAGAAACTTCACACAGACACAGTTACACATACGTGTGTGTACACACACACACACACACGTGCCACTCAGCATTGCAAAGAGAAACCAGCATTGGTGGGATGGGAGTTGGGTATGATTACAATAATGTCTGTCATCCTAACTGGGACACTTATGAGAATGATAGGACACCATCATAACGACATCACCACAATTGGCATACCTGGGACTGTCCCTGGCATCTGTTATATAGACTTTTTGACCAAGGTTTGCTTCTAATCTTGTCTCAAACCAGCTGCATGGTTAGGAGCAAGGGATCATCCATTCTGAGAYATATGATGTATTACATTGTTCTGATTTATTGAACAACAAGTGCCAAATATCTCACTGGAGAGACAGACAAATCAAGCACATTTCCAGCTCAAGGTCAAGTCAGAAAGCAAAGAAAATTGTACTGTATTACAATGCTTGAGACCACTGAAACCCCGACATCAGGGTAAAAAGTCTAGAGTTAACAGAATTGAGGAGTGATGATAACTCATATGAAGATATATATATATATCAAAGAATACTTCATGGGGACTTGGTGAAAAATGAGCTGAATCTAGAGAAAAAAAACAGAAATTCATAAGAAAAGAATCATGTTCCATCCCAGAAGAGAGGACCAATGTGTAAGGGCACAGAAGGGCACAGCACCACGGCAGGTCCAAGCAGTTATAGAGCTGGTTTAAGTAGGTGATCTCTAAGGTTCTATGCCCTAAAAATCTAAAGATCTCTCCTCTCAGTGATGTCAAATATAATTTGTAAAAATTAAAATTTTACTTTCATCCTCAAAGTATCATATATATTAATAATCTCTTTCCACTCCTCGATGACAGCCATTTGATCTCTTTCTACTCACATGACATCTATTTTTATGAGCTGCACCTATTCAGAAATACCTGGAAGTACATAAAAGGACTGTGTTGAAGACCCTGGATAAATGCAAACCTCCCCATGAAGTTATAAATCATTATGTCCATAATAATATAGATATGGACGGAGTATAGAGCAGAATGTCAAATATGCAGGGACAGTTAAGATCATAGCTAACGTTTACTGAATATTGAACAGGAATGARTTCAATTAATTATCACAATTCTATATTAATTAGATGTAAACATTAGTTTAAAGATAGTTGAGGTATATATTAGAAAAAAAACTTGCTTAAGGTAACCTGCTTAAAAATGGCAGAGCTGGCTGGGTATGGTGGTGCACATCTATAATTCCAGTGGTTTGGAGGTTCAGGCAGGAGGTTTGTGAGTTCAAAGCCAGCCTCAGCAAAAGCGAGGCACTAAGTAACAGTGAAACCCTGTCACTAAATAAAATACAAAATAGGGCTGGGGATGTGGTTCAGTGGTCAAGCGCCTCTGAATTCAATCTCTAGTAACCCCTATTTCCCCCCCAAATGGCAAGGCTGGGGTTTGACTGAAGAAGTCTGGCCCAAGGGTCTATGCTCTCAACTACTATATTACATCTCTACATGCCTCTCACTAGTTGTGTTAAGACTGTGGGGCAACAATTCATGCCATATGCCCAGTGTTCCTTAATTCATCTTCACTTTAAGACAACACCAGGCATAGGGTAGAAAAATACTGACTGGATTTGAGCAGTGGCTTTTAGAGGGAAAAAAGATATGCAATGAGCAGAGACAATAAATTTTCACAATTAGATTCCCACTTTCTAATTCATCAGCCTGAACTTTGGGGACCCACAGTCAGAATGATTGTCCTCCAGGTCTGTCCATTTAAGAATTCAGCTGAGCCCACATGACATGAAAGACCTGGATTGGCTAAGGTTCTCATGGAAACAGTTAGATTTCTAATCACTTGTTTGGATTACATCAAAGTTGTAAGGTCTTGAAGGTGAAGAACTCCATCTGTTAACCTCCTGTGTTTAGCATTGAAAAGAACTACAAGCAAATGGCAATTAGAGGTGGCTTTGCAGGCGATGGTGGTGGTGGTAATAGWAACAATAATAAGGTTAATGCAACTATACTGTGTATGTGCATTGGTTCAAAGCTTGCAATTTTTAAATACATCATATTCCATTTAATCCTAACATATGTATATTATTATCCCCATTTCCATACATGCACAGATGAAGTATCAGAGATTATAGAGCCTTTGGAAGTACAAGAACTAGGATTTACACTAAATTTTCTAAATCTAACTGTAGCACTATCTCCTCTTCTCCACAGCTGCCTCTCAAACTGTCAAAAATTTTAGAAAGTCTTCCTGGTTTTCCATAGACAGAACTAAACACCCATAGCATACCCAGGTTTTGTTCTACCAACTGCCCCAATTTCTATATAAAAAATTCTAACACCACACAATGCATACATAATCCCTGCTCTAATCTCTAAATTGTTGAGGGAGGAAATTTGAAAATAGATGAATTTAATCATCAGTAAATAGTCATGTTTTAACACTGAGAACCAACCCAACACAGTACCAAAGCAGGCTGCCTCGCATACAAAAGTCCAGGTGGATGGAGGGTATGACTGAGTGCTTACCAATACAGGACTCCCCGGACAGTGAATAGGTCCCATCGTCATGAAAACCKCTTCTGCACTCACAGTGGTACCACCCTGGCAGGTTAACGCAGCGGGAATGGTTGTGGCACTCAATGATCCCCTCTGTACATTCATCAATATCTGCCTCAGAGAAAAACACAAGCCCACCAGGGCATTAATGTCTTTTGACACTAACCTTTTAGTAAATACCCCAAACATGCTCATGTCAACATATCAACTGTAATTGTTTAGTCACCTGAAATGAAAGTTACAGGAAAAACCAAATCCCATTATTTCTAGAATCATATACACACAAAAAAAAAATTTGAAAGCTTCATTCATAGATGCTTTCTCATGCTTTGGACAATGAATGACACCTTATGGTCACGAAGACACTCCTTACTACAAATGCTATGTTGGCATCTAGACAACCAAAATCTAAATTCAGAACACTTGGCACCATTATAAAATTGGTGTGTCTGATTTTTCTTGGATTCAGCATTTCTAAATTAGTAATTTCAGATATTACCTTGTGGTCTTTGAAAGATACTTATGAAAAAGTATAATATATATGATATATATAATCTGCAAAGCTTTGAAAAAAAAGAATGATAACATGGAGGGTTTATTATCAGATTTCCTTGGCTAGTAGATAGTTTTTATTGGGGATAACTTTGACATCTTAAGAAACTAGTGTTCTTTGAAACACAGTTTGGGAACTATAGTTCTAATTTATTTAAAACTGCTGATTGACTATGCTAGTCAATCAAAGGTCTCCATTCTTCAGTTATTTCTCATGAAAAGAAGTCTCCAGAGCTTTTTTTTCTCTCTCTCTCTGATCTGGTTCTTTAGAATCAGCAAATACATGGATCACACATAGATTTTCTAGCCCAAAGACTTGCCTCTGGGCTGAACTTGGTTGACTCCATTGAAGAAAGAAGAGTTACTGATTGTTATAGCAGGGTAAGTTCATTCTTCCAGAATTTTTCCATGTAATTATTTCTTGGAATATAGCCATTGCTGGCTAGGAATCTTCTCCTATTTCTCTTGGAAATATCTCAACTACGGCATATCTGAACAGAAATTTAATTAACATTGGAATATAACACATAATTAATAAAAGGCACCCTGGGATCTCTTTCAGCAGGTTCCTGCTTTAGTTATCAGCTCAGGGGCAATTAGTTACCAGAGGCCTATTGCTCTGACATGTACTGAGTTGTGCACTGAGCTGTGAATTTAGTTTGAAAACTTGCACTCTCATCTCATGATATCCTAGCTCAGACAGGAAAAGCAGGTTTCCTTAAACTGGACTACTCCAGTTTTTCCTTTAACCCCCAAACTGCCATCTTCTTCCTCTATGGGGTTCAGTTTCCATAGTCTTTTCATACACAGCATCCCTCAATCTTCTAAAAGCCATCAGGACCCACCCAGTGTTTCTATGGCACTTTCATATATTGCAGTCAGATTATGTGTGCATTTAATATGAGTCCTCAGAAAATGAATTCTCAACAGTTATTTAGATTGTCATTTCTTAAATTTTACAGGCATGGGTTTTCTGAAACACAATATAGATGGCTAAAWTTTTTGAAAATGGAAGTACAATGTGACTGGGGGCTGTAGCTCAGAGAGAAAAAGGGCTTAACCTGTGTCACCGTCATCTCAGTGCCTTTTGAATATAAGGAAATGAGAGATACAAACATAAGCAGAAGACTGATTTTCAGAGATGACGTCTCTGTTAGGATGCAAGTAACATGAAACAGTAACAAATTCGACATATTTGTTCTCAGAAAAGTTTTCATGATCCCCATAGACCCATCATATTTAGACTGCCAACAGCATTGTAGGTATCAATCACCTAATTATATGGTTAGTGTTTGCGAAACCAGGAGATACAAAAGAAAATGCATCTCAAATAGCAAAAGCAATCATCTGACCTGACTTGCCTAGGAAAATCCTAGGTTTTATTAAACTGCCCACCACTGCTAAAACAACCCAGTTTGCAGCATAAAATATCTGATCATTTTACATGTAATTCCATCCTAAGTTTAATGAGAAGTTTTTAGAAAGAGCAGACATGATGAATGATGTGTAAATATGTTCTCAATTCATAGATATTTGTTTACCCAAATTAAATGATGATACTGGGTGTGGTGGTGCACACCACAGCAGCTCCAGAAGCTGGGGCAAGGGGATGGTGAGTCCAATGCCACCAGCCTTAGCAAAAGTGACGTGCTAAGCAACTCCACTGAGTTTAGACCCTGTCCCTAAATAAAACACAAAATAAGGCTGGAGATGTGGCTCAGTGGCTGAGTGCCCCTGAGTTCAAGCCCTGCCACCTGCCCCCCAAAAAATTAAATGATGAGATTAAATGATGAGATTAATGAGTTTTCATGATCTGGAAGGGCTGAAGTAATTGTATTGGACAGGAGACTTTTGTAGCCAGAGAAGACAATCAGACAATTTTGCATCTACAACTTCCCCAGAGACACAAGTACATCTCTGGATTACATTGGAAATGACAAAAGTAGTGAAGATGTCCTTGGCTTGAAAGCTACACTTTCCACAACAGATTCTGGGAACTTACTGGGAATAATCAGGGCTCATCACATACTGGCACCTGATAACAAGGCTGCACATTTATGTTCTCTGTGAAAGATTTGAAATTAAGAGCAGAAAATTCATTTTAGATACAACCAAACTGCATATGGTAGGCATTCGCCATGTTCATAAAACTGGCTCTTTCTTCTATGTAGTCACAACAGTATTAAATGAAACTACCACAGACCTAAGTATGGAAAACACTTGGAGGTTTTCCAGCCACACACTGGGGAATTCACAAATTTTAAATGATGGTTTCTCCCCAAGCTGGGTTGTGGCTGCCTTTATCCTTAGAGATTTGTTTTCCCAGTCACCATTTGATACTGGCAAACAAACAAGACAGATGCTCTGGGAATGAGGTCCCTGTGAGTTCACTATGGAATTCGCCTCTCTTGCCCAAGGAATTCTGGAAAATCACAATGAACTTGGCTGACCATCATCATGTGTCAGCCATCCCAAAAGAAAGAAAAAAAGAAACAAACAAAAAAATCCTTTTTCTTCCTATGCCAAGCCTAAGATTTTTGTTTAAATTTCAATTTAACTCAGCATTGACCTAGAAACATAATAGAGGAAACAAAAGATGCTGGGGGATTCTTGAGATTGCAACTGGTAGTGTTCATTTTTGTATCCTATCGCCAAGCGCCAACTACACAATAACAAACATTATTGCCCAGGACACATAGCTGCACCATGATGAAAAGTGGAGTAAAACCCTGAATCTGAGCCTGCATTTGGGACTCTTTTGTTATATCACTTTATCAGTGAATCAAGAAAGGATATAAAGACAATGCATGTATTTAATTTTCTAAATATTTTTGAGCTAAATATATATGTAAGGATTATTTTTATGATGTGGTGTTTGCAAAGATGAATACGTCGTGATTGCTGAAATCCAGGAGTTCACAATCAAGGAAAAGAGGTATACATTATTCATCCTTCAAACCTCAACCAGTATCTCCCTTTCCAACCCTCCCTTCTCTAGTGACTTGGTACTTCTATACACATATATCTTAGCACATATCTAAGTTTATCACAGATATTTCTTTTTTTGTTTCCATTATTCAAATGCAAGTTTTCCATGAACAAAAGTGACATATCTTTCAGGTTTACATTTCTTGTGATAGCAAGTCAGTGGCRTGCAATGGAAGAGGCTTAATAAAAGGTTGTAGAATAGAATGAATGAATAAACTGAATGAATAATGTGATGGATGAAAAGAATAGTGATCAAGTGCTGCAACAGAAATTCAAAATAATGCAAGATTCCCTGCTGTATACAAATTATAAGAATACAATGTCAATTCATAAAACTAAATATAATGGGGTTATACTTAGGTTATTTACTTCTAAGAGGCATCATGTGGTTTCTATTTAATATGTTGCATCTACCTCTAATTTTCAGAGATTTTAAGGAGGCACAATAGGGCTGGGGATGTGGTTCAAGCGGTAGCGCACTCACCTTGCATGCGTGTGGCCTGGGTTCGATCCTCAGCACCACATACAAAAACAAAGATGTTGTGTCCACCGAAAGCTTAAAAAAATAAATAAAAATTTTCTCTCTCTCCCTTTCTCTCTCTCTCTTTAAAAAAAAAAAGGAGGCACAATAGGTAACAAAGGGACAGTTATAGTTGCCCTCAGGGAACAGTACTACCTGTACCATGAGTTTTATGCTTAGGATTAGAAATAGATAAATATGTAAGGTTGTTCATAATATGTGTACTAAGGAATATGTTTATTCTTATTAGAAATGTATACTGAATTTTCTATGGAAGGCATTTATACACAAATACTTGAATAAAAATATTCTTGAATGAATGAATCTCTTCCTTCATCTAATCTTCTCTGTATTGGATTTCTATTTGAAAATTTATAAAATTTATAGTCTTTTTCTTAAAGTTTTTTTTCAAAGAGAAGATTTTGTGTTTCACTTTAATTGGTTAAAGCTTAAAGTAGTGGCTCAATCTGCAGTTGGATTACATCTTATGAAGGATCAGATACAGAGATGACAAAAGTTTTGGTATTTTCATTCATTTGGACAAAAGTTCATTGAGCACCCACCATGTTCTAAGCATTATAATACACCCTGTTATTCAGAGATAAAAAGACAAGGTCTTCATCTTCCAGAGAGTCTGTCAGGGACAACAGCAATAAAATAAATTAATAAATAAGAACACACACTTTGCAGGTTGTGGTTATCTTTCAGTGGTAGAGTGCTACTTGACATGTGTGAGGCACTGGGTTTCACTGTCAACACCACATAAAAATAAATAAAGGTATTGTGTCCATCTGCAACTAAAAAAAGTTTGTTTTTTAAATTTTTTAAATTTTTATTTTTTTAATACCACTATTATTTATTTTTTTAAAGAGAGAGTGAGAGAGAGAGAGAGAGAGTTTTAACATTTATTTTTTAGTTTTCGGCAGACACAACATCTCTGTTTGTATGTGGTGCTGAGGATCGAACCCAGGCCGCACGCATGCCAGGCGAACGCACTACCGCTTGAGCCACATCCCCAGCCCAAGTTTGTTTTTTTTTTTTAAAAAAGAAC